ACAGCAAGTGAAGAGTTCTACCCATTACACATACTAGTTGCCACTTGGAATACCTTCTCCAGGTGATAGAGCCTCTCCTTAGCCATAGGAGTTCTACATAAAAATGCAGAGCCTTCAAGGGCCATGCAGAGACCACAAATTTCCCAATTAGTGCATTATTTCTACAGAGACCTAATATGATCCAAGTGACCTAAGTCAAGGCGTTTCCCTAGGCACTCATTCTATCTTACTATGGGTTGGTAGCAATGTTCAAACTAGATGATGTCTAATGGTCTCTGCTAACTTTGAGACCCTATGACGATACAAGGTGAGTCCTTAGGCACTAGAAGGTTCTGATTCAATAAATTTTATGATTCTTTGCAATATTTAGTTTATGTAATTGTTCAATGTTCATTTTTCTCAGCATTCAAAGCCTACCACTATCTAGTTCCATGTCTCTTGCTCCTGACACATTTCCTGAAGCCCAAAGAGAGGAAGTGATTTACACAAAACCATACAGCCAGTTAGCAGTGGTTTGAAACTGAGATTAGAACTCAGGATTTTTTACCCCAAATCTGCTGTTAATCTTACTTTCATTTCCATTTGACTTGGCAATATTTAGGAGTCTACCTACCGAAACAAACCCAGCAACTATATGAACACAATTACAAAACACTTTTCATGCAAATAAAATCAGATCTAAACAATTGGAAAAACATCAGTTGCTCATGGGTAGGCCAAGCTAATATAATAAAAATGACAATTCTACCTAAACTAATTTACTTATTCAGTGCCATTCCAATCAAACTACCAAAAAATTCTCTTATAGAGCTAGAAAAAATAATAATAAGATTCATTTGGAAGAACAAGAGGTACAGAATATCAAGGGAACTAATGAAAAGAAATGCAGGGGAAGGTGGCCTAGCCATTCCAGATCTTAAATTGTATTATAAAGCAGCAATCATCAAAATTACTTGGTACTGGCTAAGAAATTGAGTGGTGGATCAGTGGAATAGGTTAGGTATGCAAGACACAGTAGTCAATGACTATAGTAATCTATTATTTGATGAACACAAAGACACCAGCTTCTGGGATAAGAACTCACTCTGACAAAAACTGCTGGGAAAACTGGAAAAGAGTATGGCAGAAACTAGGCATAGACCAAAATCTCACACCATATAGCAAAATAAAGTCAAAATGGGCTCATGATTTAGGTATATAGGCTGATATTATAAGCAAAATGGGAGAGCAAGGGATAGTTTACCTATAAAGATCTATACAGAACAGAAGGATTCATGACCAAACATGTTCTCTATCTCAGAGAACATTACAAAATGCAAAATGGATAACTTTGATTACATTAAACTGAAAAGTTTTTGCACAAAGTCAATGCAACCAAGATTAGAAGGAAAGTAGAAAACTGGGAAAGAAGTTTTACAACCAGTCTATCTGATAAGGGTCTCATTTCTAAAATATATAGAGAGAATTAAGTGAAATTTATAAGAATACAAGTCATTCCCCAATTGACAAATGGTCAAAGGATATGAATAGGCAGTTTTCAGATAAAGCAATTAAAGGCATCTACCATCATATAAAAAAATGCTCTAAATCACTATTGATTAGAGAAATGCAAATCAAAACAACTCTGAGGTACCACATCACACCTATCAGATTGGCCAACATGACAAAACAGGAAAATGATAAATGTTGGAGAAGATGTGGGAAAACTGGAACACTAATGCATTATTGGTAGAGTTGTGAACTGATCCAACCATTTTGGAGAGCAATTTGGAACTATGCCCAAAGGGTTATAAAAATGTGCATACCCTTAAACCCAGCAATAGGACTTTGAGGGCTGTATCCCAAAAAGATCATACAAATGGGGAAAGGACCCATACGTACAAAAATATTTATAGAAGCTCTTTTTGTGGTGGCAAAGAATTGGAAATTGAGAGGATGCCCATGAATTGGGGAATGGCTGAACAAGTTGTGGTATATGAATGCAGTGGAATACTATTGTGCTATAAGAAATGATGAACAGGCTGACTTCAGAAAAACCTGGAAAGACTTGTATAGACTGATACTGAGTGAAATGAACAGAACCAGCAGAATGTTGTACACAGTAACAGCCATGTTGTGCAATTACTAACGTTGATAGACTTAGCTCTTCTCAGCAATGCAAGGATCTAAAACATCTCCAAAAGTCTCATGATGGAAAATGCTATCCAAATCCAAAGAAAGAACTATGGAGTTTAAATGCAAATTAAAGCATACTATTTGCTATCTTTTTCCTTCTGTTTTGGTTTGTTTTCTCTTTCTTGTGGTTCCTCCTATTGGTTCTAATTCTTCCTTACAACATCACTAATGTGAAAATATATTTAATAGGAATGTATATGTATAGCCTATATCAGATTGCATGCCATCTTGGGGAGCGAGGTGGGGAGGGAGGTAGGGAGAAAGGGGGAGAATAATTTAAAATTCAAAAGCTTATGGAAGTGGTTGTTGATAAATCAAAATAAATTAATGAAAAAAAATTTAAAGAACATATGGGGTTTTTTTTTAGGACTGGGAAGACCTGAGCATGTTTATAGAAGGAAGAGAAATGGTCAGAAGAAATAGAGATGGAAAATAATACAGAGAGGAGAGGATGGAGTAAATTGGTAGATCAAGGCATCCTGGAGGTGGGCTTAAGGACCCAGGTGAAGGAGCTAAATTGCCAAGGACTAAATTGCCATTGACTAATTTTCCCTCTGTGACATCATGCTTCCAAATACCATACATGTTTTTCTACTTTGGGATGCCTGAGGAAGTGAAATTTACCACAGTAGATTGACTGAAGAACATAAGATCTTTGATGTTCAACTTCCTGCCCATTTCAGAATGTTTTCCAGCCTCTGGACAGGATAATACAGGATGAGTGACTCATCTAACTTGGAGAAGAAAAATGTTTCAATCAAAGGACCACAGAACATGAGCACTAGAAAAACCTTGGCTGTAGATCCTTAGTCCTGGCATGGATCTTAGAATTACATGGGATTTAGAGCTGGAAGGAACCTTAGAACATAGAATAAACATCAAATGTTAGAGGTGAAAGAGACCTTAGAAATTATCTAATTCAATTCCCTTATTTTTACAAATAAGGAAATTGAGGCTCAAAAAGATGAGGTGAGACAGGGCCAAGATTATCCATACATCCATAGTATGAGAACTGAGGCTAGAACCCAGCTCTTCTGACTCTGTCTGACTCATGGCTGCAGAATCACAACTTTCAGGCCATCTTCAGTTGTCCTGATCAATATCTGGCCAAGAAAGTGAGGCTAGTGACTTTGTACAGCCCTCCCTCACTAAAATTCAATTCATTTGAATATCATGGCATCACCTTCCTGTTGTCATGGTCCTCTTCAAGAATTAGGACAAACAACAACCTCTAAGTAGAAAAAGAGCTGCCCACTGGGAACCAAACTGGAACCGGCCAGTTGGACAACATGGCTTCTTCCTTCCTTCCTTCCTTCCTTCCTTCCTTCCTTCCTTCCTTCCTTCCTTTCTTTCTTCCTTCCTTCCTCCCTTCCTTTCTTTTTCTCTTTCTTTCTTTCTTTCTTTCTTTCTTTCTTTCTTTCTTTCTTTCTTTCTTTCTTTCTTTCTTTCTTTCTCTCCCTTCACTCTGTTCACATAGGGTATCACACCCTTACCTGTGGATGCTCTGCCCAAAGGGAATTAAATTTTATTTTAATCTCTGAAACTTTTTTTTTACCCCAAATTACTCTGACTTTCGTTGATTGGCCAACAATAGGTCCCAGGCCAAACTCTACTTGGTCATCCTTGGGCCCTGATTGGCTCAGAATTAATGTAAATAGCAATTGTTTCTATTTTGGCCAGAAACCCTGAGGATCTTCCCTTCCCAGATCGATTTTTAAAAATTAGGTAAAGAGGCCATTCTCTGCCTCATTTTTTATTAAGCCTTAATCACTGAATGGGCATTACCTCAGTCAAACTGAAACCTGTTAAAGACCTTAGCTTGAAAAGGCTGAGAGCTCCCACTACGTCCTGGGCCATCTCCAGTTGTCCTTATCTATATCTGGTCACTGGACCCAGATGGCTCCAGAGGAGAAAGTGAGGCTGGTGACTTTGCACAGTCCTGCCTCACTAAAATCCAATTCACTTTCATGTCAAGGCATCACCTTCCTGATGTCATGGTCCTCTTTGAGAATGAAGGACAAACAACCACAACAACTTCCAGGGATCACAGGATAATAGGATTCAAGATTTAGCACTAGAAAGACTTTAGAGGCCATCTAATCCAATCCCCTCATGTGACAGATGAGGAACTGAGGCAGAGAGGGTTTAAGATTTGCCTAAGTCACACAGACAGCATGGTAGTGCTAGCATTTAAACCCAAGTGTTGACTCTATCTCCTCTCTTTCCATTCTAAGTACTGTCCCCTTTGTATGGGTGCTTCCATAAACTTAAGGCTATTCAGCAAAAACAGGTCCTGATTGCCTTGGAATTGAGGGCAGGCTAGATCCTCCCCCCTCATTCTCCATAAGCCTCAGGATGGAGTCTGAAAGAAATGAACTGCTTAAATGTGGCAACTCAATTAATCATTACGCCATTACATTGCTCCTACAGTTACATGTTCACCATGAAGGGCCAGGACCCAAATGAGTACACAGATGGGGATATTACAGATTTCATGAGCTGAGACTGTCTAAAGTTCAGCAGTGTTAATGGGAATTCCATACACAAAGCAGTCTGCAAAATATCTGTGTGGGGATTTGTGGTAATTTCTGGGAGTCAGTAATTGGACAGTCTGTTTGAGACAGGAGGGGGCACGGTCAGAGGCTATGCAGAAGAATAGAGCACAATTCATTGGTATTATTTCCCGGACAAAGGAGGCCTTGGGGATATCCTGTTCTTTCCCCACTGTACCTGTTCTGAACCCTGTCTAACAACTTACTGCACTTGGACAAGTCATTTAAACTTCTCTATGCCTTTGCTGACTCCTGTGTAAAATGAGGACTTACCAGTCTGAAGAAATTTGTAACAGATGGAAGAGTCTCTCTTTTTGCTTCCTTCCTTTCTTCCTTCCTTTTTCTTTCCTTCTTTCCTTCTTTCCCTCTTTTCTTCTCTTCTTTCTTCCCTCTCTTCATCCCTAGCTTGCTTGCTTTCTTCCTGGAAAAAAAAACATTAGTGATTATTCAATGAAAATATGTAATATATTTATATAAGATCACTTATGTAATATATTATTTCTACATGTAATATATTACATGTTATAATATGTAATATTTATGTAATATATTACATAGATTTATGTAAATATATGTGGGTAATGTGTACATAACATATGTGTATATATGTGTATCATACTCAAATCTATTGGGGATCCAAAAATCTATAATACTTTCCTATTAATTATGATTAATTATGATTATAAATTTAAATGAAGTCTAAAGTATAACAAAGTATAGCATTCAAGGCTTTCTGCAATCTGTTCATATAGTCTCTATTTGGCCATTTCTCTCTCTACTTATCAACATGAACCATCTGCTCCCGTCAAGCTATTCTTGTCACTGTCCCCTGCATATGTTTCAATCGTTCCCTCCTCCTAATCTTAATTCACATTACTTCTCCTGCAGTGTTCCCTCTCCACTTCTGCCCATTTTTTTTAATCTAAACTCTGCCCAGATATAAAAGCCTAGCTTAAACCCCAGGACCTCCATGAAGTTTTAATTAATGATAGAATCTCAGAGCTAAGGACCTCCAAGATCATCTAGTCTAATTGATACCTAAACAAAAATTCCCTCTACATCTCCAACAAGTGGTCATCCAATCTTTACTTAAATGGTTTGGAGGTGTTACAGATAGGATACTTGTTTAGGATGGAGTTGAACTAGATGTTAATCTGAGGTTCCTCCCATATTTAAGATTCTGTGATCTAAATGGCCTCTTCTCCAGACTAAACATTTCCAGTTTCTTTAACTAATACTCATAAGACATGACTTTGAGTCCCCTCCTCACCATCATGGTTTCCCTTATATGAATGCCCTTTGGCTTGTCAATGTCATTCCTGAAACATGGCATCCCAAATTGAATATGATACTTCAGATGTGCTCTGAGCAGGGCAGAGAATATATAATAAGACTATCACCCCCTCTGTTGTGGATACTATATGTCTCTTGATTTGACCTGAGAGCACATTAATTTTAGGAACTATGCTGAATTTTGAGCTTGTAGCCCACTAATACCTCCAGATCCTTCTGAGTCAAACTTCTATTTAGTCATACTGATACTTCCTATACTTTAAAAATTGTAATTGATATTTTTTTGCTTTTATATCACCTTTATTTCCAATATGTCCCTACCCAGCAAGCTATCCTTTGTAACAAACAACAAAAAGAAAGAGAGAGGAAGGGGGGGGAGAGAGGAAGGGAGGAAGGAAGAAAGGAAGAAAGGAAAGAAGGAAAAAAGGAAGGAAAGAAGGAAGGAAGGAAAGAAAGAAGGAAGGAAGGGACAGAAGGAGGAAGGAAGGAAGGAAGGAAGGAAGGAAGGAAGGAAGGAAGGAAGGAAGGAAGGAAGGAAGGAAGGAAGGAAGGAAGGAAGGAAGGAAGGAAGATAGACAAAAATAAAAGCAGTGTAGCAAAACTAAGAAACATCAACCAGTCAAACATTCATTATTTGCCATCCTGAGTCTGTTGCTTGATGTAAACTATCTTTCTTGCAGCTTTTTTTCCTCTACAAATTTGATAAGCATTGCTATCTGTGCCTTTAACCCAAGTGACTGGTAAAATCATTGAGCATCCATTAACGACTACTATGTAAGTCCAATCTTAAGACTACTTCCAAATCACCTAATCATAATATCAGCTAGGCTAAGCCTTTTTGCTTTATCCACAAGAATAGAATTGGTGACTGTGAGATGCTTTTCTAAAATTCAAGTAAAGTAAGTCAAAGCATTTCCCTTATCTACCAGTCTAGTATTGCTAACAAAAAAGGCAATTAGATTAGTCTGTAATGACCTTTCCTGATGAAAGCATGTTGTTTCCCTGCGATTACCACTTTCTTTTTTGGATATTCAGTAACCATCCTTAAAATAATATCTTCTACAATTTGGCAGGAATTGAGCCTACCTCAGTGGCCTATAGTTTTTTCATTCCACTATCCTTTTCTTGGAAAATTGAAAAAATTTGCCTTCTCCAGTCCCGTGGCACTTCTCCCATTCTCCATGATGTTTAAGTGACCATTAGAGTGGCAATTACATCTTACCAGTTCTTTCAATACCCTGGGATGTAGTTTGGTTTAAGCCTGGTAAAATGAATACATTAAGGGAAGCTAGATGCCTTCTTTCTATTTCTTCACTTATCTTGGGTCTCAACTTCTTGTTAACCATGTTATTCTATCCTTCCTGGTTTGGAACTCAAAATTTAAGAAGAATGTTAAAAATAAAGAATTTTTCAAATTAAAAAAATTAATACACAAATCTTTTTCACAGGAACTACTTTCTAGCAATGTCTCATCCATACTGTACATCACATACAACCGATTTTCAGACCCTGACTTACATTTATTTACCTCTATTAAATGTTTCCTTGTTGTCTTGGAGTCACCTTCTAATCTGTCCAAAGAGCTCTTTTTGGGTCTTGACTCTGTCATCCAACATATTAGCTATACCTCTCAGTTCTATGTCTTCTCTAAGTATGATAACCATACTATCTATTTCTTCCTACAAATTACTGGTGTGAAAAAAGAAGATGGAGGTGGATTAGAACCATGAAGCATCATAGTTGGAGGAAATATTAAAAACGCAGAACAAAGGCATTCATACTGCTAGGTAATTTGCTTTTTAATGTTTATTCTGAATTTCACAAACAAAATTAAATGGGTATTCCATATATATTATATAATATAAGAGGATTGTACATGAAACTGATCTCTGTTATATGCAACTTGCTTTTTCTCTTAAATATGTAATAAATTAAACATGTAAATTTCAAAGCTGCCTACTCTGATTTTTTCCTAGATTTCCCTCTGTTCTCTTCTGTGCACATTTTTAAAATATGCTTCAATGACCTCTTACTTCTTTTCTTTTTTTCTATACTATCTCTATTCCTTTTCTCTATCCCATCTTTTTCTTGCTAGAAAAATAAAAAAGAAAAACAAAGCTCCTGTGAAAAATCAATCAACAAATATTAAATGCCTACTATGTGCCAGGCACTGCCATACATAGTCAAACAAAGCAAATGCCTTCATTAGACATTATCTAAAATGTATGCCTTATTCCACATCTTGGATCTATCTCCTCTCTCGGTAGGTATGTAATGTAGCTCATCTTTAGTTCTCTGGAATCATGGATTGGTCATTGTATCGATCGAAGTTTTTAAGTCTTTCAAAATTGTTTTTCTTTATGATGTTGTTATTATGGTAAAAATTATTGTCTTGTTCCTACTCACTTTACTTTGTATCAGTTCATAGAGTCTTCCAGGTTTCTCTAAAGCAATTTAGTCATTTTTTATGGTGCAATAATAATCCATGGTATACACATACCATTTGATTATCCTTTCTTCAATTAATTGGTACCTTCTTAGTTTCCAGTTTTTTGTCATTAGAAAAAGAGCTGCTATAAATATTTTTGTACATTTGGGTCATTTTCCTCTTTCTTTAATCTCTCTGGGGGTTTAGGCCTAGTAGTGGTATAGCTGGGTCAAAAGATAAGCACAATATACTGACTTTGGAGACATGGTAGACAGTACTTTAGAATAATAACTAGCACTTATATAGTGCTTTAAGGTTTTCAAAGTGTTTTACATATTATTTTATTATTTGTTCCTCACAACCACCCTATGAAGTAGGTATATTATTATTAACCCATTTTACAGGTGAAGAAACTCAAACCACATAAGGTTGCACAGGGTCATACAGCTAGTAAGTGTCAGAGACAGAATTTTTGAATTCATTTCTTCCTAAGTCCAAATCTTTCCATCTTTCACTGTACCATCTAGAATTCAGAATGTCAGAGCTGGAAAGAAAAATAGAACAAAGAACATTCAATGTCAGAGCTAAAAGGAACCTGAGAATGTTCAACATGAAAAGGAAGATTTGCAAGGGACCTTACAACATAAAACATTAAAGCTAAAAGGGATCTTAGAAACCATTCAGCGAAACCCTCTCATTTGACAGAGGAAGAAACTAAGGTCCAGAGAGGCAAGAACATGTTCTTACTCCATCATGCTTCCTAATACTTCATCCATTCAACACCTATAGAAGACTGGATTTGTGTAAACATAAATACTTCAGTAGGGGAGGGTCTTTGAAGCAATAATTCACTAGAAGTACCTATTACAGTTAGTCACCTTATTTTATTCCCAATTAACCTAGGAATAAAACTTTAGCCAAACTGAAATCGATTCATTTAACTTAAATCACAACCGCCTCAGCTCAAGAGAAATTAATTGTCCATGCATGGAATCCAAAAGTCATTTGTGTTGCAGTCTAGTATTCAAGTCTCCCTAAGTTGATTTAAGCAGACAAATAACCCTTATAGTCTGTATTTTAGTCCGCTGACCTGGGTTCCAGTGCCAGCAGTGACAACAATCACTGAGCAATCTTGAGCAACTCATTTCCCCCTTCTCTGAACCTTAGTTTTCTCACCTGAAAAATGAAAGGGACAAGATCAGAGTTGTCAAATAGCCTGTGGCCCACAATGCTTCCAAGTGGGCAATTGCGTATAATTGGGAAATATTTAACAAAATAAATAAAAACACAATAAAACATAGATAATATTAACATGTAGTTTTCTCATTCAATATGCAGCCTGCAGGTGTCCTTACATATGGTTTAGTAGCCCCACTTCTAATTGAATTTGATACCTCTGGATTAGAAGATCTTTCTCTGAGGTATTAAAGCTATTTGTGTTGGTATATTGGCTGCCTGTTACACTATAAGATCCATGAAGGCAGGGATGGTATAGCTAAGCCTATAGCTCTCCAAGCACTCTGTTCCTCATAGAATTCTGTTTCTGGATTCTATTCTGGTGTTCAGGTTTATAAGTGCTTTGGGAGTTCAGAGACTAAAATTCAATTTAAGACAGGA